ACAGACTGTTGGGGCAAGTGCTGTTATCGAGCACCTATGAAAGCCGGCAAGATACACGATGGGGTGGGTAACCAGCACCACGCCTCACCGCATTTGTCTCCCCAGTGGCGATGTTTACACATCGCAGCAGGTACTAATTTGAGGTTGAGTCGACCTAGGGGAGGCCCATAACCTGTTCAGATAATCGCCACTGGTGTTGGCCGTGAGCGGGAATCGAACTCGGGTCGCCGGTTTCGTAGCGCAGCGTAGCGGTAACCGCTACACTACCGCTCCCCACACACGCACACACACATACACACACACAAGCAAAACTGCCTCTGTGCCGTCTCAAGATATAAATAAAAAGCACATGTCAATTACACGAATTACAACCACTTTCTAGTCCATCGGCTTCTTGGCTTTACAGACAGACCAATGTTATGCAGCAGCAGGAGAAGCGTTTAAGCGAACAAAATCTGGGAGCACCGGGACAAATCTTGCTCTCTTCGGCTTTCCAGGCTCGTTAAACAAATGCTGCCGTGTTAGCGGATGTTATTGGCAAGTACACGCCATATAAACTTGGGGCCCTGCTAATAATGCGGCGAGAGTACGATACCAGCTGTTCCCTCCAACCCGTTTCCATATTGCCTCCTTCCGTGACCTGCAATTAGACTCTCTCTCTCCACCAAATCTAGATAACGCCTCTCGCTGCGGGTCCACTGTGCGAGTCTTCGGGGGTTCTCTATGGGTCTCGTTGCGAGTGCGCACGAACTCTATGCGAGTCTGTGCACCTCGAGTCTACGGGGACTCTGGTGGATTTTCACCGAATCGCCAATGAGCACCGGCCAAGGGCCCGGGACACGTCTTCGCCGGCAACGTCACCTTTATTCGTAGACCCACGGACATCCAAGCAATCAATCCAAAATTAGTATTCCATCACGCAGCCATTCCGAGGCGTCGTTTTGGCACTCTCCCAGCAAGGCGAGTGCGTCAAATAACACGCGAGGCTCCGACGCGTGTTTGTGTTTTTTTTTTACGACGACGATATCGTGACTCCCACGCAAACAGAAACGCGAGCCTCCCTCGGCTGTCATGTCTAGACGCTGAGAGAGCTCCCCCAACCACCAACGCCACCAGGATGAATGCGGTTTGTTGGAAAATAAGTCTTATTTTACGCTGACCAAGTCAACGCCGGGCAGACAAACACGGGGTCTATTTTCAACCGCGCGCACACACACGGCGAACATGTCGCATCGGTAGAGACACATCGCATTGACGACAATTAAGCATTAAAGACGGAGTCACCCATGGACTTTGCGCAGTATGTCTGGAGATGGAAACAGGGGCACACACCGCACAGATCTCTCGTGAAAGCCTCAACGGGCTGCAAGCGAAGGGATGTGTGGCTGAGTCTATCTAGTGGGGGGGGGGGGGGGGGGGGGAGGGTCCAGGAAAAGGGCTTTATAGCTCATCGGGTTCATCCAATAACAAGAAAATCGTCTGGAACGGTTCAGACATTTGTCACCGGCTGCCAGCTGTTAGCGGGAATCGAACTCGGTTACGCCGGGTTCGTAGCGCAATGCGTTAACGATGGCGCCACCGTCACACACACACACAGCCACACGCGAACCACACGTGTGGCTGTGTGTGTGCGTGTGGGGAAATGTTTTAATTGCAGGGCGTTGGCCGCAGATGCAATTACCAGCGCGCGCCATAAAAATCCACGTCGGAATTTTAACAAGCGGCCACATTCTAAGCTGGGCTGAACTTGGGCTCTTTGAGAGGTTTCCAAGAGAGAGAGAGAAGGGGGGTGGGTAGAGAAGGCCCCGGTTGTTAAGTGGAAACAGCTTGGCGCGGATGTGTGCAGGCGTGCCCGTGCCCACGGAGGATACACATCGCAAGGCCGCTCCGCGGGAGGAAGGAGTTTCGTTGCGAGCCAAGCATCTCCGAGAGTCTCTATCTCTGACGCGTAGAGGTCTGTCTGATGCGGAGAAAACTCTCCGTCTCTGATGCGAGGAACAGTCTTTGTCTCTGATGTTGAGAGTCTGTCTCTGATGCGGAGCGTGAACTCGGCACCGTGGCCCCATCGTCTTCCCTTAGTGCGCGACGCACAGACTCTGTGCAGTAACACCTTTGCCTGGCAACCAAAATTATGGAAACTGCTAAGCAGGCTCGGTTGGGTTCTTTGGTGCGCGACCTTCATCTCTAAAGCAGGGACTGTGTCCATCTGCTGCCGGGCTACAAGGTGAACAGCGGAGGACCGCACAGCAACATATCACCATTGTTGTACTCTACTCCTGCGCTCCTCCACCAACGGATGGCTCCCCCCCTCCCCGCTTTCAACAAACCATGCAACGGGACAACCGCGTTGCATGGTCACACGACCGCCAACTGCCCACGTGGAGTGGCACTCATCCGGCAGTGGATTGACAAATAAAGAGGGGCTGCTGTATACATATATACATACACACACGCGTACCGTGTGCGCGTATGTAAGCGGGCATCTTTACAGTGAGCCCGGCAAGGATAACGTCGCATTAAACTTTCGAGAATGCTGTTGAATGAAATCGCAGACGGTTCCGTGTGCCCCCTTTAAGGGCTTGAAACAGCAACGCCTTTGACCGTGTTCACGATAACGTCGCATTAAACTTTCGAGAATGCTGTTGAATGAAATCGCAGACGGTTCCGTGTGCCCCCTTTAAGGGCTTGAAACAGCAACGCCTTTGACCGTGTTCACGAGCTCCCCGTCTCTCTCTGGCTCTGAACGTGATGCCGCAAAGCGCTTTGCGAGCCTGCTACAAGTCAAGCCTGTTTTTCTTTTCTTCCATTGAGATCAGTAATGCCCAGGGGATTCACCTGGCAAGCACAGATGTGCAATGCTATGCTGAAAATTAACATTGTAAACGGTCGGAGTGTGATGTGGTGGCTGATGTTTTCCATCTCGCAACGCCCGCCCACCCCTCTTGTGGTTTCACGAAAGTCGCCCCACGTGGATGGTGATTAAAACAGAGAGAGAGAGCTGTGGGGGGGGGGGGCACAACTCAGACGGTCCAAAGGAAACGATAACTGTGACATCCAGAAAAAAACTGAGCACGGCGGCCAAGAACGGTGGAGCGACCAAAATTGAAGCCAGGTCGCTTGACAAGACCGCGCATGTCAGATGAGCTTAGCGGGGTGTAAGCCAGATCGTAATAATCCTCGGTCGGGGAATGATTTTGCCAGCCGAGAGACGTTACGGCAACGCCATCCACGTCTAATAAGCACATGGGCCGCTGAAAGGGCTGAGATCAAACCTAACGCACAATGAGTTGGTGACGGGTCACTGGGCCCTTCCCACCCCCCCACCCCCAAACAAACCGGCTTCCATCACAAAGCCAAGGTATAACATGTGGACAAAACACAAGGGGCAGTGCAGCGGTGATACCAGTGCAGCGGTGATACCAGTGCAGCGGTGATACCAGTGCAGCGGTGATACCAGTGCAGCGGTGATACCAGTGCAGCGGTGATACCAGTGCAGCTCGGTCAAAGATATTTCGGTAACACAATGCATTACTTCAAGTGCTCACTATTTTGCGTGCAATAAAACTGTAGTCCAAAAATGCAGTTCTTAAAGCGCAACTATTGAACAGTTATATTCGTAATAAGGGTGCGTTGGCCTAATTTGTATTGTAAAGACAAGAGGTGGGCTTCGGTGCACGTGGTAAATTGTTGGACGGTTACAACTCGACGAGTTATTGTCGCCAACGTTCCACAATGTTCACTTTCCCTTCTCGACACGGGTTGAACCTTCAATTACGGATCGATTGCAGTTGTCATGCATGGAATGCACAACGGCTCTCAGTGTTGGTTATTAAAGACACGAACATCGACCCTGGCTATTGCTCTGTGCCGTCATCATCATCATCCCTGTGGCAAAGTGGGTGCGTGAGTGACGGCAGGGAGATTTTAGTGAGGGTTACACGACATGCTGCCCACAACCGTGTGTGCAGTAACGCAACACTTTTGCCAAACATGCCCTGTAGAGACCATTTATAGCACGTATTAAGTTATATAATAGGCGACGTTTCGGGCAATGGACCTTCTTAATAACAGCAGAGATTAACAATAACAACAGAGAAGGGCCATTTCCAGGAACGTTGCCTATTATATCATCTTTCCTCTTTGGGGTAGTACTGTTGACGATTGTGTTTGGAGCTTATATAATTCCTGCTTTGCACACGACTGCAAAAGACAAAGATCCCCCGTGTAGCCTGTAACAGACTGTTGGGGCAAGTGCTGTTAGCGAGCACCTATGAAGGCCGGAACGACACACGAGGGGGCGGGTGGCCAGCACTACGCCCGGCCGCCTTTGTCTCCCCAGTGGCGAAGTTTACTACACACCGCACCAGATCAGTGCCGGATTTTCCGAGTAGCAAAAGTAGCTACGGCCCCACACTTTCAAAGGCCCCGCGCTAAATGCTTTCAAGCTATCAATTCCGGTTCAGTGATTCTGAACCGCATTAAACTTTTACGAATGACTGGGTGTTTAAGGTTAGCGATTTGTCGTATTATTTGGCTGTATAGCAAATTAAAACATACAATGTTTGTTTTTACTATGCAAGTTCAAAATTTGTGTTTTAATATTTACTTTTTAAAATTTTATTTAGGGCCCCTTCATAACATATGCTACAGGCCCCCACAAGCTTCATCCGGCACTTCACCAGATACTAATTTGAGGCCGAGTCGACCTCGGGGAGGCCCGGGACCGGTTCAGATATGCGCACGACTTTAAACGCAGTATCACACGCGTTTTTTGTTTAGCTTGTGTGCAATAACACGCTCCTGCAAGCCATCGGGCGTGCAAATGGCCCGTGTCACTTCAATGTTGGTTCAAATGAACCCCCCCCCCCATCCTCCTGCCCTGTGATTTGTACGAGCGTTGCCTGTTTCGGGCTGGCCCATCAGGAGGTCAACCCCCTCCCCCCCCTTCTCGCCCTCAACCCTCCGTCCGTCTTAAAGCTGCGCGGTCCCATCTCTTGCAGGTGGATGGAGGTCATTCGCAGCGCCACCAGCTCGTCCGCGAGGACGCGTCTGCTCAGCCGCAAAGACTCGCATTTCACATAGAGAGAGAGCGAGAGGGAGTGTGAACGACCTGGGGGAGAGCCAGCGTGGCCGCGAATATCGACGCCTTGCCACTGTGCCACTCAACGGAACGTCGTTAGTCTTAAGACCCCCTAACGGACTCGTCTAACCACGCGCACGATGTAAGGCGCACGGTGGTGCCATCACCCTTAAGCAGGAGGACTTTCTTCACAATTCCGGCAAATCGCCCGATGAAGCTGGTCGTTGTAATCGCCAGCGGAACGTCGCTCACTCTCAATTTTAAATGTCGTGGGGGTTTTTGTTTTACTTTCCAACACACCGGTGTGCTGAAGTAGTAACTCATCGGCACGTTTTGTTTACGTGACAACGCCTAATTGGCTGTGTCGGGTGGTGGTGGGTAAACGACACGTTTATATTTACGCACTCTAACCCATAAAACCATTATTACCCTAGCGAGTCTCACCGTAGGCGGGGTCGGGGTGGGGTTTGCGGTGGGAGAGAGACGGGGATGATAACACTAACAAAAAAAATGTTCCTGGGTACGAAGTGTTATTTTCCAATTGTTTATGCCTCAAAAGTACAGAAAATGGCTATTATTCCCCACAAAACTGTGCTTTTGTGACCAGGACAGCGCTATTTTGAAATGTACCTATTTTCAATGAGAAAACGTGGTGTGCATTTGTGTTATTCCTTCACGTAAAGTCCTGGTCACAAAAGCAAAGTTTGTGGGGAATAATAGCCATTTTCTAAACTTTTGAGGCATAAGCATTTAGAAAAAAACACTTACTACCCACGAACAAAAATCGTGTTACACAGTGTAACCGAAGCCTAACTTTAGTCCCCACCAACACTACAAATTCCCGTGGAAGCCACCGACCTGTTTGGAAGCGTAAACGACTACCTTAACACAAAACATATGCAAACTATCGTAATACGCTATCGAGTTCTAAAACGGCAATCGCTCGGTTGGATATTCGCTGCAGCCGAAGCTGTCGTAGGTTAGAGAGCGATCGTGTTCATCCCGAGGCAGGGATTCCAAACCCTCGTGCGCTCGCTCAAGCCACAGCGTGTCCCCATCCCCTCGGCTCGTAGCTCTTCCACGTAAGCGGACGCCACTTTACTTCTACCGAATGCCCCGCAACCCTGGCCCCATATTCCCCACACCCACCGTGGGAGTCAACTTAGTCCCCCCCCCCCCACACACGTTTGAGTGAGTACTAAAACCGAACTCTGTTCATCGGGTTCGTTGCGCGGCGAGCTCACCGTGACGCTTCCGCTCTCCCCAAACACACGCATACGCGCGCACACATACAGACACATACAAACAAAAACGCACGCGTACACACACATACACACGAGATGACGGTTACATCATTACAGTTTCAGCTGTATTGCTTTTTGGCTTTCGCGGTGTTGTGTAGCTGTCCAGTCTACTACCCTCGTGTCTTTTTTTTTTGCTTTGCTGTTGTTTTCGTTTTGCACGGATGTACGAATTAGCACGCTGGCTAACGGTCAAAAGGCCAAATCAATTTACTGCCCGAACGATCATTGCTCATCTCCGGTTTACAGCCTTAAACCAGTGGTGTAAAAATACCATATGACGGAGACAAGTATTTTCCATGTGATAACCAACCGCTGACCTCCCCACAACAAAGTTTGGTACTCGTGTCGACCCCGGAGGGGTGATGGGCTATAAATGATCTCCCCAAACCAGGATTTGAACTCGCAAACTTCCGACGGTCGGGTCGAGGAGCAGCGCGCTTTACTGCTAAGCCACTAGGGTCAACACGGCTTCTTGAAATGCTAAAGTATTCGGACGCGACACAAATCAAAATCGTCATTTCATATTTGAATACGTCAAGGCAATGCCACCCTGTACGCACACGTGGGGAGTGGGGGGTGCAGCACTTGCAGCTGTTGGGGCAGCTCGTGTTCACAAAGCATTTAAAAGGCAACGTCTCTGGCACGTTCACTTCCCTGGCACCCACGCGGTGGCCGCCGTTTAGTGGATACTGGGAAACGTGAACGCGGAATGCAGCCAGGCATGACGTGAGCTACACCACCCGCCCCACCCCTCCTCCTCCTCCGTGTGTGTCGGACCATGAAATGAGGTCTCACCGATGGCACTTGCCTCTACCACCACCACCACCCTCGTTTTGGAGTACCGAGGCACGCGAACCGTTACCGTTATCGATAGGGCCAATCTGTGTTCCCCGCAGAACGTGGTCTTTGGGTGACGGTCGTATAAATAAAAAGCGGTCCACGCGACGAGGAGCGTTAAGAACAAATGGTGACTTTGGCCATGTGCACAATGGTTAACACGCTCGTTACGTAACGGCGATTACAATTGATGTAGAGCGCACCTCTGCAGCCGACTTGCAGCTTGCGTTGGCAAAAAAAAATATGCAGCGTTCGGAGGTTTTTTTTTCAACTTAAACAAAGTGTGCCATGGGAAGAACTATATGAATGTTGTTAATACAGAACAGTATTTCAATCGTTTTTTTTTTACAAATATTGTTTGCATTTCTCAAACTCCATGTCACTTGCTTCCACTTCCCTCTATCCTGTGCCAACATGCTGAGGCTATGCCACATATCTCTTGCACCAATCTATGTCATCCAGCCATTCTCTTCCTCCAGTTCCCTCCCATTATTCCCATTAGTTTTTTTTTTATTTTCCTGTTGTTCTCCATCCTGCATGGTGCCCAAACAAGCAGTTTACTTATTTTCAGCCATTTCTCGTACAAAAAAATATATATCTTTGTAGTTGCAAACGTGGGCTAGTTACAAACCTGCTTTTAAGCCGACTTTGTGCTCTTTTTGTAATAAGCTTTTGCGGACTAAGACAATTGGAGATTTCTTATCAAGCCGTTGAATGAAATGCCATTTGATGTCACATTCATTTTTTTATCCATTACTTTAACTTACAATTTACTAAACAGCAGCCGTGTTATCAGTTTTCCCCCCCATAAATATAACCATCACACCTCCCATTAAAACCTTTGCAAACACAAATCGGGCTAACATCTTCTTTAGAGACACAGCACTTTATAATTTATGGCAAGGACAGACAATACCATAACTGTTTTGAAACGGGCCAGAAATGACCATGAAATGCGGTGTCGAAATCGCTAAAAAAAAGTTAGTGGACTTTTCAATGTTTAATCATTGGGTGGGAAAAGCGTCGGATTGCTTGCAAGGTAAGCTGGTATATTGCGGTACTTTAATTAACTTGTGTTTTTTTTAAAGCTATTCCTTTGCGATCGTGTCAGTCTTGCAGTCATTTAATGCAGCGCGTGCATTTGATGACTCTGCAAACAATTTAAATACAACCACTCATGGATATTTAATGCATTTCATTAATAAGCTTAAGTGGTTGTATTTACAATTAAGACTGCTCGTTCTTTTCAAGCACACGTTGCCGTTAATAAACTATGCAACACATTTTACTCGGAGTCGATATCAACTTACTTGTGCAGCATTGTATACATTAAACCACATCTTTGTGAAGTGTTACCGTGAATATTAAATGGAGTGCATCTTTGACAGGGTGTACTCCCATTTAAATTCCACGCGTGTGCGGCTGCGTGTCTTATGGAAACGATGGTGCGAGGTCCAACGGCCGCATTTAAATACGCCTTTAACTAGGCACATTCGAAATTCCAAACTCCATTAATGAAGTTGCACTTGTGTCAGAAAATCTTAAGTATTCCTTTTTCCTCCTCGTACAGCATTTATATATTACCTCCAGCCACCATCTATAAAGATGTGACACCATTATCCAGGGCTTCAAAAATGTAAGCCGATGTGAAGTGCATAAATCATACGACATCCACTAGTTTATTTCAACAACTGTACCGCATGTTTGGCAATCAACAAAAAAACCACGTTCGGACTTATTTGCTAAACCAGAGTAAAAATATATAAACAACGCCAAGAGTAGCATAGCATCTTTGTAAAAGAATCATTTTTATTGTATATTGTACCTTGTGGTGAAATTGGTAACGGGTGAGCTTGATTAAAATTTACACAACAAAAAAATACAATTTGGCCAGTTGAAGCATTCAATGTCTCAATCCCCACACCAACAAATCTCTTCCATAAATAAACCTTCGATGGGCACTTTCACAATGTGATCATTGCACCCAAAGGCTGCCTCCCCATTCCCGGAGCGCTGATGGATGCTGTATTGTTCAACCTTAGAAACGACCAAGCGGTGTTCCCCAAAGCATAGAAATTAACTTAAAATTGTACCATACAGTGTACTGAAAATAAAAGTGTAAATGCATACTACGCCTCGCCTATGCCTGCAGGAGCAATTGAGTCCAACCACAGCAGTGCTTTCCCAACCTTTTCTGGACCCGAGGACCATTGTCGACCTCAAACAAAGATTTGTACGGACCACCATGCAGTAAAAAAACTCCACGGTGTTTTGTGAAAAAAAATAATAATCTGTGAACAGTTCCACGGTCCACTTTGCCATGGCCTGTCGGAGGAGCATCAGTGTGGTTAGCGGCACCACAAGGTTGGGAAAACTACTCCTCTTGAGCATCTGCCAGTCTGCCGTTTTTGTTACTCGGGCGCAAAAAAGTTGAACGCTCTAGGCTATGCCAAATTAGCGGTGAAATATTTGTTTTATTCAACGGGAAATAAATGCAAAGGACTAATGTTAAGTTGACCTCGTTATAGTGCAACTTTACTATTAAAACCCCCTTGAGACTGGTGTTAGACCACCTTTTTGTGGTCTTGCTATTTTTTCGATTTAATGTGGATTAAAATAGGTTACATGTTTAAATCAAGACTCTTGGGTCAAAATAGCTACATTTTCTTACACAACAAAACAATTTTTCAAATGACAAAATTTGTAAGTGTTCAGAGTTAATGTCATAATAAAGCGAACCACCCATTCACCCACCCTATCTCCCCCCCCCCCATAAAATAAATGCACTATGTATACTGCGTCAATTTTGTAACCAGAACTAAACAAAATGTAACTCTACATTTCCTTTACGGTTGCAGGGCATGTAAAGACTCTTGTTTAGGCTGATTAGAGCATGAGTAATTCTGCGTTTTCTAAAAGGGGAAGCACCTTTGACAAGATGAAACTACATTTGCCATTTAAAGTCTGAAAAACTGGCAAATTACCCTTAAGAGGTGGGCTTCAGACTCTTAAGGAATATATATTTTTTCTCTCTCTCTTTAAATCCGGCAGACGCCAACAATCTTGTTCAAGTGCCCAGGGCTCACCAAGAGATGGAGACAGGAGAGGAAAAATAAAACTCTACGATGGCCTCGTCACACTACGATTACTTCCGCCCCAAGGCCAACCACAAGCGTCAAGAAGGGCCCGTCGGAAACCAATAAGGCAACGGCCAACTTGAGCTCCAACAGCCAATCGGAGCTGGTCTTGCTTGAGAGGAGGGGGGAAATACAAAAAAAGTTATAACGTCGTCAAAACGAGAACAGCCCCTTGTTTATGGCCCCCCCCCCACCACCTATCGTTTTCATAATTTGGTCAAACCGCTGCCGTCTGTACGTAGCGATCCAGACAGACCCAGCGAATTAAAAGTTAAAA